AAATTAAAAGTTAATCTTTATTTTCTTAACATATATTAATAACAAAAAATTATATTTATTATACTCTTAATTTACATTTTAAGAATATATATTAAAAAAATCCTTTAAATTTTAAAAGAGTTAAACAATCCTAATACTTGCTCACAAGCTCTAAAAAATAAACTCTATCAAAAGTACCTCTGTTGGGTTTGTCTCATAGAATCTATCTGAAGAAGGCAATGATCATGATTTTTTCCTTTGGATAGCTGTTAAAAGACTTATTCTATTGTGTGTTACTAAATTAATCAGGAAGAGTTGACAATCTGTGACATTTCCAAGATACCCTTCGTTCATGAATATTGGAATTATGCAAATAAGTATAGTAAGCTCTATTTCTTTGGCTAATCTCTAGCAAGTGATGAAATTTATTGTTCTACATTTCATAAAAAAAGGACAGGAAAAAAATGGACCCCAAGCGGCCCTTCTCCTGGCCGGCCAGAGTTCAAGCTTTGTTGAAGCGAGACCCCCCTCCTGAAAAAATAAAAATGATCCCATTTCAAAAGATAAAAATAAAAAATAAAAAATAAAAAAGGGGACCGAAAAACGGAAAGAAAAAAAGACCCTCCACAATCTTGAACAATTAAGGGTACCTTTGCTTTGAAGGAAGTATTAAGGGAGACAACTAAAAATTTTTTATCCAACTAAATTAAGACGTTAGGCAAACAAATCCTAATTAGTGGCCCTCATATATTTTATTATCGTTATTATTGTTCTACGTTTCTTCATTTTTGGCAATCGGCATAAACTATGCTTGTTCTTGCTCTGATACTCAAAAAGAAATTGTCCTTGCATTCCAGGGCAAGGACTCCTATTTATCATCAAAGTCTAACTTTTTTCTTTTATAATTTTGATACAACCAACTTAAGTAATGAATTCTAGCCTCAATACCTAATTTTTTTATGCACCACCCATACCTACCCTGTTCACTTCTAATTAATTTTCTAAACCAACCTAGGTCGTGTTCATTTTTGTGCAGGCATTTCACTCTTGCATTAATTTTTTGGTTGGTTCCAAACTTACAATGAACTAATTCTCTACTCTTGTTATGTCACTCAGCAAGTTGCAACTCTTTGTTACCTGGATTTGCAGAGAAAAGTTCAGAATCTCTTTTCAAACTTTTTCTGGTACCTTTCTTTTTTATGATATAAAATGTATTAACTTGGATTTTTAGTGCATTTTTGCTAAGTTATATCGGCTCTTTGATACTTGGATCTTCTCTCTCTAGTTCATTTGATTTATCTAGGCCTTTTTGGTCTTGTTTCCTTGGAGCTTTTCACTGCATTCTTCTACAAATTCCACTAGGTTATCGACTCTAAATTGTTGATTAATTTCTTCAATGGCCTCATGGTTTGTTGCTTCTTACATATCTATGCCTCATTACAAGGACAACACTTTTTGGTCCCATATGGTCCCATGCAAAGCAGGAGGATTTTGTCAAAAAGATGTAACAAAGGTACCTTGTGGACTAGACCTAAACATGGGGGGCCCCAAAACAACAACCCCATAAGTATGCAAAAGTTTTTGTAATGGCTGACTGGTTTTGCTTTTAGGGATAACATTGGCTGTTCATGAACAACCTGCAAGTGCAAAGAGACAGGGAGTGGTGATGACACTTGACAGGGCTAGGTCTTGTAACCCCACTTGGTCATGAACCAGATGTGTTTTACAACAATCTTCTTGAAGGAGTGAGTGGCATAAGTGGGATAGAGAACTTTGACTGTTCTCAATTCCCCACGGTATTATATACATCTTCCTCTCCTCTATTTCTTTATTATATGACTGTTGAATTGGAAAGAACTTATTCTACTTCCACAGTTAACAGAAACTTGCTGGAGAAATCAAGTCTCTCTCAACAGAAGGTTGGGTGTTGCTGAAGATTGCTAAGAAGGCAGACAAGTTCATGCCTTACATGCTCGCTGCTGGGAAGAAAGCTTTAGCAGATGGCGGAATTAAAGATGAAGTGAATAAGGTGTGTGATAAAAGCAGATGTGGTATCTTAATTGGTTCCGCATTAGGTGGAATACAGGTGAGGTGATTAGTGAAGCTTTCTTCTATTTGATCAGATTTTTTAAAACCCCATCAATTTTAATCCCACAATGGTGAGGCAAAATTGAAAGATGTCTCAGATTTCATCCTGCATTGCATATAGCATTCTTATGATATAGTGGTTTTTAACAGATTGTCCAAAGATCAGTTGAACTTCTGAATATTTCAGTTAGGAAGTTGCCTCCATACTCTATTCTTTTCAGTCTAAGTAATACCGGTTCTGCATTACTAGCCATGGATTTGGTGAGCTAGAAGTTTTGTGGTTCTATATGGTTAACTATCAATCCTAAGCTATGGCCATTTTCCAAATTGCTGAAAATTGCAGGGTTGGATGCGACCAAACCATGCACTCTCTTCTTCTTGTGCAACAAGTAACTGCTGTCTGCTTAATGCAGCTGCTCATATTATTAGAGGAGAAACAGTAAGTGATTAAGAAATCTGCAACACTATGGAAAGAAACAGAAAGTAAGATGTTTTTAATTCAATGTCGTTCCTAGTTTAAAAAGATTTGCGGGATCTGATGCTCTGTGATGGCTATGATGCTGCAGTTGTTGCTTCACGTATATTTTGTCTATCAGATTTCCTGCATTTTGGTTATGCAGATGCTATGATCACTTCGGGGATAAACTCATCCTTTTTCTTTGATTAGGTTTGGGGGTTTTTACAGCCTGCAGATTTCTTTCTCAAAGGAATGATGATCCTGTGAAAGCTTCAAGGCCCTGGGATACTGTTAAGCACCCAACTTTCTGTTTATTTTTCCTGGCTTTTCTGTATTTCTTTTACTTCTGCTAAATGTTTGAACTGAGATGTGATTTTGAGCAGGATTGCAATGGGGTTGTAATTGGAGAGGGTACTGGAGTTCTGCTTCTGGAAGAGCTAGAACATGCTAAGGTCTTAGAATCAATTTCATAGTTATGCAAGGAAATCCTTAATTATCTCCAATGGTTAAAGTTTGTTTCTTTCACCCAATTTTGCTCAATGATGCAGAAATGGGGTGCAAAAATATATGCAGAACTTCCAGGTGGAGGCTTCACTTCTGATGCTTACCACATGACTGAACCTCATCCTAATGGTTAGTAGAATGAAATGCTGTTTCTGGCTAATTTACTATAAAGATTAAAACACTTTGAGATTAGTGTTTTTCAGTTTGGATTGCTAAGAGAGAAAAATGATACTCTAGACAGCACAACACTACCCTAGGATGTGGGGAGAAGGGAAGATCAAATCACATGGTAGGGCAGTGATTGTTAAAACTGACGTTTTTTAGTTAGTCCAAACTGAAAAACATTTTTCTCATACTTTTCATGTTGCTTTTTTCCCCCTTTCAGTCCTTTTTGATTTCATTGTTTGCTGCATTATTAGGAAGAGGAATGGCTCTTCACATAGAGAAAGCCCTGGCTCAATCTGGGGTGGCCAGGGAGGATGTAAATTACATAAATGCGCATGCTGCATCTACACAAGTAGGTGACTAGAGAGAATGCCAAGCTTTAACCCAATGTTTCAATGAAGAATCCTGAGGTATTATGATATCAAGTAATTGCTCTCCCTATCTCTCTCGTCTCCAACCCTCTCCATCCCTATTTTAATTTCTACCCATGTCAGCTAAGGATAAACTCTACAAAATCCCACTCATTAGGAGCTTCTGGTGCTGTGGAAGCCATAACGACAGTTAAGGTGATTCGGTTTCTGCTTTTAGCCTTGTGCATTCGTGAAAACTAGTTGCACATATGAAAGAACTAACTAGATATGAAATGCAAGCGATGCAAACGAGATGGATCCAGCCAAACATCAATCTGGACAATCCTGAAGAAGGCGTGGTATGGTTCTTTAGTGGCGAATTTTGTTGGACTCGTGAGCTACGTACATGATTTTGGAACGGATTTCACACAGGACATGAATCTGCTAGTTGGGGTCAAGAAGGAAAGGCTGGACATTAAGGTGGCACTTTCCAACTCATTTGGCTTTGGTGGACACAACTCATCAATCTTGTTGGCACCTTTCAGGTGAACTCAATCTACATTTTTGTAAAAAATTAAGCACTTAGGAATCCCAACTAGATATTTTTTAATTTGGAGGTCTAAGGCTTAAACATGGGCAGCGTTTGGTTTGAGGAGAGAACATTCCCCTCGGGTTGTGATATGAAAGTGTAATGAATCTAATATGTACCCAAAAATATGAGAAGATATGTTTAGAAGAACTACTTTGCTGCTGGAAGATGTATCTTTGTCTTCTGCATTCACGGTATTTGCCATAATTAGACAACTAAGAAGCGATAATAAATTGATCAAAACACGAATGGAGTAATAACACGCAAGTGCTTTTAGATCAACAAACATCATGAGAGGCTGTCAATTGATATGCTATTAGCCCTGGTGTTTCTAGTTTTACATGTAGAAACCATAGTCCGGATAGGGGGGTCTCCCTTCCATGATTGCAGACAGTAAAACTTATGTCTATGAGTAACACGAATGTGTGATTGGCAAAAGGCAGCATTCACTTTGACATGAAATCTCCAAATCCAGGCAACCAGGCACAAATACAGGGCAGAAACAACAGTGCAGAGAAACCCCTGAAAATCATGCAGCTCAGTTCTGGGAAGCACAGAAGACAATTGAATAATCACCAGAGTTTTGTTTTGACCCAGAAGAGGAGGAAGACAACTCCTAACACAATAGCCACAGGGGCCCACTTCCGTATTAAAGCCTACAGTTGAAATGTGAAAAAAGATCAAACATGACTACTGCAGAAAATTTGTAAAACCCAATCAAGGCATTCAAATCTTTTAACACTGTTGAGACGACAAGTGCATAGGGATTAGGAAATCAACTTGGCCTCTTTCCCAAAAGAAGACCCATTAACTCGCATTCTATTGAAGCAAAATCATGCAATAGAACACATCTGTAGCACAATCTTAAGCAATCTTATGCTTGTACCATAAATCATAGATACCAAGATTTTTCTTCAACAAAATAAAATACTAAGATTTTGTTAGTCTAGAGAAGTTTTCTTAAAAACCTAGTGAGAATCAATTGCTGTTTCAGGAAAAGAATACAAAAAAAAAAAAAAAAAAAAAGGAAGTCCTACAAACATTTCTGGTCTTGAGGGAAAAAATTTTAATTTGTATAATTGTTAACTACCAGCCTATCTGTAATCAGTAAGTTACCATGATATTAATTAAGGAAATGATAATTAATAATCAGTTTCTGATCCTCTAGACAAGACATTAAAAGAGACATGAGAACAATATATAATCATCATTTTGAATTCTACATTATAGGAAAAGATCATTGCCAAGTCGCCAACAATCATATTACAAACAAGAGAAGAAGGAAACTGAAAAAACAGACCTCAGGAGGAAAGTGGGGAGGGAATCCATTTAAATATAAAACTCTTTTTCTAGAAAAGAAATTCATATGAAATATAACCATGTCTGCTCCAAAGAGCCCATACTCAATGGGACAGTTATGTTGAAATAATATCCATAGCACATTGAAAGCCTCAAAGAAGGAAATGTCCCAGGAGTAAGTCAAAGAAAATATCCTTTTAACCAAAGAGAAACTGACCTGCCGATTTAGATCCCTTGCTTTGTCAGCATATATGCGAGATTCTGATGTTAACCGACTGGACATTTGACTGACCTCTGCAATATCACCAGAAAACACAATCAATGCACAGCAAGTACAAGAACAATAACATCTATCAACTAACAAGAAAAAAAAAAGAATCAAATGCTAGCAAGAAAAAGGAAGGGAATGGTCAAATGTAAACCAAAAGTGAAGAAGAAAACATTAAAAGGTAAGTTCAATTTGTAAGTTCAATTCCTAGGAGAAAAAGGGAAATAAACTAGCAACTAACAAGGCAACAAAATGTAACGAAGATGAAGTTTCATTCTGATGCAATACATGCTACCTACTAACAAAGAAGATATTAGGAGGTGTGAACTCCCACAACCCTAACAATCAAAAAGATGAACAAAACAAGAGTTTCAACATGAAAACTCTTAGATACAAACGACTAACAGAATTCTGCAGTACCTAAATGCTTCAAGACCAGCTAAATCCTATTATCAAATAGACAACAACTTTGTCCAAGCACACAATAAGGACATATTGAATTTCCTTTAGAAGATAAATGAGCTATAGGTTTCAGTTTTTGTATCCGGACATGGATGTATGTCTGCTTGCACAAGCATACACCAGTTATAAATAAGTGATGTGAAACATCCACCAGATCATGATACCCCATTGTGCAATTTCCCTATTGGCAAGAATTCAAAAGTAACAAAGGAAATAAAAATCTTCGCTAGGAAAATGATGATGATTTTAGTATTATCAACAATGTTAAGACTTACTTTTACCGCCATGAATTAAAACAGAGCAAAACAACACACTTACCTACAACATGATGGTAAAACTAATAATCCATTCTCATGGATTGACCCAAAACAAAAACCAAGTAGTTCTTATACATAACATAAAACAAACACAACTCTGAAATAGAAACAACAAACTTACGATCCAATTTTTCACCAACACCAAGAACATCTTGTACATTGCGAGTCATTATTTGGTGGACTTCATAGAGTTCATCATTCAACTTTGCTATATTCCGTTGAGTATGAGTGTCCTGGTACAATTTCTTGGTTTTCTGTATGAAGGTATCTTAAAACAATAAAAGAATAAAATGAAAATAAAATCAAACACAGTAAGAGAAGCATCCAAAAAATTAGAAACATCATCAATTCACAAGGAGAGCAGATAAATACACAAAAAGGAACAGAACTAACCAAATTTAATGAAGGCATAAGGTCTGGCTGCTGTTTCTATCTGTGCCCCATTAACACGCTCAAATTCATTTCGGAGGTCTTCAAGATATTGAAAGGCAAGTTTTTTAGGATAAGAACGGTCACACATTGTCAAATAACAAACACGTCCTTCAATGATATAACTAAGAATTCAGGTCAAGGTAATATAACAGGTACCAAAAGAATAATTTATAGTATTCTGCAAGTAGTATATAACTATATATATAACTTATATGCAATACAAAAAGGCAATTCAAGTTTGAGAAGTAAAAAGAAACATTCTCTGACACAAACCTATTCCTCATATCAAGGAAACTGCTTCTGGAAGATTACTTAGAAGCATATTTTGGAATGTACAAGCATTTAGATTATATCAGGCTTAATGCAAGTTCAAAAAATCCTTGATTTTTGTACCTGTTCCTACAGCTTATAAATCCTGCTTAAACATGAATTGCAGCTCTGTGGAAGTAACATTCTATCTATAATTAAAAAAAAAAAATTCAAAGTGTAAGTATAACAGTATAACTTACGCCCACACCAATACCCTGCATAAAATTCGTTTCCAACAATAGAAATGAGAAAAACATATAAACATTCACTAGTCCAGAACTCCTCAGCAACATGAACATGACTAATGCAAAAAGTTCCAAACGTAGTGAAAGTTTATCAACTCAAGCATTTAATAGGGACCATCCTAAATGTTAAAACACGCTGGAAACAGCTAAACCAAGACAAGGATACTGGAACACGTAAGGGCCAGTTTCAATCGACATCCTGGAAGCCTCATTCTGTCCCCTTGACAGATTCTTAAACAAAGCCTTCACTTGTTGTTTATACATTTCAGCATCCTTCAGATCACGAGCATCATCCAGTCCCTCTGCTAGAGGAAGACCATCAGTAACACGGGCAAGCATTGTCATCTTCACCATCTTTACTTTATTGCTTCTTAGCAATAGAGAATCACCAGAACTGAACTGAAGAAAATTAACAACTTCATTAGGCATTCTAAATGTTAAGAAAACAAGAAAAAATACCTTAACTACCTTAATTATGATAACCACGTTTAAGTTCTTCCTCTTAATGTCACAATCGATCAATATGACAACAAGCAAACTCCTTTAAATAGAAAAAAGAATTACTGAAACCATTAAAAAAAAAAAAACCCAAAAATCAGCTCCCGTAATTCGTAAAAGCCAAAGAACAAATCTAGATATTGACATTCCCTAACCATTATAATTCATCCAATGAAAAAGGAAAAATTTAAAAAGCCTACAACCCAATTCACCATCTCTAATTTGACAGCTATAAATTCAACGAAACACGTTCCAACGAATCAAAGATGACCTTGATCTGGCAGAAAAGCAGCAGATTTTCCACACCCACTAAGTTTTTTCAAATACCCACAAAATCAATCACCCAAAAGATCTCTTTTGTTCAATAATTTACCTCAACATTACAGAAAAAGAACAGATTTTTCAAATTATATCCATACATTTGCATGTACAGGTAATATAATGCTCATAAGGATGCACAAGTACCTGCTTATAGCATTTGTGTCCTCTGTTTTCTCTTCGATTTCAACGATCTAAGAAAGTGGGAAGACAAGGGTCGAAGATTTGAAGGGAAATAGAGGAGAGAGATGGTAACAAATTATAGGGTTTTGTGGGAAAGGAAAGAAATTATGGCTGGTTATGGACATTCAGGGATGTGCTATTCTGGGGTTGTACTCTGAGTTGACCAAGTGAAGTTTCAAAGGTACTACTAACACAGAAAAAAAACATTTTAACATGGAGAGTTTGAGAAAAGGAACTTAATTTTACAAAAACTAGAATTAAGTCTTGGTCTAGATAAAGGTGCAAGTGTGGGAGCAACACAGAAAACTTCTTTTTTTTTAACGGATTATAATTTTGGGGAGGAGTATTGTAATCCTATTCTGAAATTAAATGTGTATTTTATGATAAAATATATAATTATCGAGTTATGAAATGTAAGTAGACAATACAAAAAAATCATTTAGATATCTTCCGCTGCTGCGAGGAAAAAGATATTAAGCATTTTAAGTTGAATTAAATTGTATAATATTTATTATTAAATAAAATATAATTTTTTATATTTAAAATATTTTTTATACAATAATTTTTATTTTATTATTTATTATAATTTAAACAGTAATAAGTGAATGCTTTCTCAAGATTGTTCGGAAAAAAAAAACATGTATCAACAATTTTGCAGTGCGACAAAAAAATAACCATTGATGGGAGGAGCGCAGCCCCCATATTCAGCATGCCTTCCCCATCAAGAGGAATGCTGGCTCATCGGCAGGAACACAAACTCCCGCACTCGGGAATTGGTGGTGGTAATACCACATTTTAACACATCTCTGGAGTGGCCAAATGCGAAGAGCTGTCGGGTGCATATACTCTCAATCAATTATTAGAGTTGTGTAGTGGAGGTTTTAACCGCAAAAAAACTATTTGAAAAAATAAATGAAATTGTAAAAAAATCAAAATGTAAACTTAAATACCTTAATGAGTTCACAAGTAAGTATTTTTTTTTTATATTAGATGATAAGATGTATAATATGGTATAATTTTTTAAAAAAATTTTTTTCCTTCACTTATTATAAAATCAATTTAAATTTTTTAATAAAAAATTTAAACTTTTTATCATTGAAATGTCAAGGATAACATGCAAGTATGATTTATTAAAAGTTTTTGAACATATTTTTACTTTAAAAACACAAAAATCACGAAGATTCCTCTACTCTTTTTTTTCTTTCTTTTTAGAACATTGAGAAATTAAGAGAAGGAGAATTACATCATAAGAATTTGAACCATGGTGGTATTCATGGTTTAAGATGCATCATACCATTGCAGCCACTGCTAAAATGATAAAATCTTGCAAGGTTCTAGGTGAAAATTTGTGGCTTAGAACTGTCTTAAGTTAATAGATTTCTTCCACTTTTATAAATTAAGAGGGTTTTCACATTAAATTTGATGTTCTTTTATTATTATTATTATTTACTTCACTAGTATAATTTTTATGTTGATAATTTTTAATCAATTGGGTTTAGCGTTAGTTAAATTCTCCACATTGGGGAGGAGATGCCATCCTTTACATGTTTTGCAACATTCAATTGGTCAATTAATTAGTTATTGGAGGGTAAACGATTACCTAATCAACTTGGCAAGGCAAAGGAACACAGATCAGCAAACATACTGAAACAAAATAAGGAAGTTAGAGAATCCCTGATTATCTATTCTAATGATAGAAACTATTTATGACATTTACCAAAAAAGAAAATACTATATGGCATTCTTCATATTGAAAAATGTATTCCCTCAAGCATTTTACAAGATATGCAACCATGTTTGGATAGAAATGGAATTTTTTTGGAAAGGTGAGTGAATTGCAAATCTCTAACTTGTTCTTTGTGTGTCCAAAGTTTTTTGGTATGACCCTTTAAAATTAAGCGCACTAAAAGGCAATACGTTCAAAGGGGTCTAACAAAATCATGATCCAATATTACAAAACAACAAGATGAATCCTCAAGAGAAAATCTTTGCTTAGAGTCTAAGAGAAACAATTGGCTTCTACCTCAGTATGAACCAAGTTAGCATAGACACCATCAACATAAGAAGCCAAGAGGGTTTCATGGCTATCATGCTCAACAACTGTACCATTTTTTATCATAGCAATCATGTTGGCTTCTTTGATGGTGGAGAGTCAGTGAGCCACTACAATGGTGGTGGCCCTTTTTGAGACCTTTCTTAGGGCTTCTTGGACAGCTTTTTTGATTCCAAGTATAATGCACTACTTACCTTATCCAAAAGCAACACCCTCGACTTCTTAAGTATGGCGCTTACTATTGCAATCCTTTGTTTCTGTCCCTCGGATAGTTGAACCCCGCTCTCACAATCTATAATAAGGATTCAAGAAATGTGTATATGAATTTTTAGTGTCTAATAAGTGTTATTTATTGGTTTGGATAGATTGGATGAACAAAGTACTTGTGTTTCATAGCCTTGTGGAAGGCTACTAATGAACTTGTGAATGTAAGCTTCCTTTGCAGCTTCTTCAATCTTAGCCCATGAGGCATTTAGGTTTCCAAATGCAATGTTGTCTCTTACGGTACCAGTAAAAAGAGCAAGCTCTTGACCCACCAAAGCAATTTGTCTCCTTAACCATTTCACATTGACCTTCTTCAAATCTACTCTTCCCATCATCACCTTTCCCTGATTTGGATAATAAAATCTTTGTATCAACCATACTACTATTGATTTTCCAGACCCACTTCCACCCACTAATGCCACCATGCTACCACCTTTGACCTTTAGATAAAAATCCCTCAACACAATAACCTCTAGCCTAGATGGATATGCAAATGTCATCATTTTCAACTCAATGTCTAAAGGTCTAGATCGTTCAACCTTTTTGCCTTTGCCTTGATCATCATCAATCAGTGGCCTTTGATGAATGATATCCAAGATGACAAGGATTGCTATTGCAACCATGGAAGTATCAAGTGCAAGACTAGCTAGTTGTCCAATTGAGAATGAACTTAGCACAAGAATGAGAAAGATTTTATATACCACATCAAATTTTGTTTTGTCTTCTTTCATAAGGTAGGCACCAAATCAAAAAGTCAAACTGTATGCACCATACATGGCACCTTGAGAGAAACCGAGGGTTAGGCCTACAATTTGTGACTTTTGCATTGATTTTCTCTTGGATTTTGATAAAGATCTGTCAAAGGTTTGGACAACCTGTTCTTGGGTTGAAAATGTGGTTATTTTTCTTATATCTAAAATTACATTGAAAGCGATATTGCTAGCTTTGGCATAGGCATTGTTTTCTAGCTTTGGTCCAACATTGATGATCAAGTTCACGTAGCTTCCCCCAAGAGTAAAAGGAGTAAGAGAAGTAGCTAAGAAGGCAAGTCTCCTTTAAAGGAAAAATGACACGCCGAGCCCAACAGCAGCTGAACTCACTCCCATAAGCAACATTGAGAATTTATCACCAAGAACTGATCAAAAACTAAGACAATCAACTGAGAGTCTTGAAACAAGGACCTCAATGGAATTCTCTTCATAGTCAAACCAACTTGGTTCTTGTTTTAGTATTGAGCGGAACAAGAGATCTCTGTCCCTCTTTGTAAGCTTTGTTCCAACCCAACCGCAAAAGCCTTGTTGCCTAAGCATGGCAATTATATACCCAATTCCTAGCCCAACAAGAATTAAGCAAAGGTACTGAACTTCTCTTTTTAGTGTTGATGACTTATCAAAGCAAAGCTGAAGTGCTTGGCCTAAAATCAATGGAAAGATGGATAAAATTGCTCCTGCAAAAATACCCATGACGAAACCAAGTAATAGCATGGGAATCTCTGGTCTTTTGTAGTCTCCATATCTCTGAAATTTGGAATTTTCCAAGCTTTGTTCTTTCTTGTATATTCTTCTCCATTTGGTTATCTTTTTACTTAGACTTTTAAGTAAATTGATTTTGAAACTCCCCCAGCAGCATACTGTGATTTTGATACATTGTTAAGTGATTTCTCATGAATGGAAACCCCAGTGTCCTTTCCTATTGTGTTCTTTGGTTTTGAAATAGCTTCAAAAGTAAGCTTGACAAGGTTGCAGTAGGGCCCTGATCTTTCCATGAGTTGTCGATGGTCACTAATCTCAAAAACTGAGCCATTATCAAGAATAGCAATGGCATTTGCATTTCTTACTGTTGCCAGCCTATGAGTAATGACAATAGTTGCTCTTCCAATAGAAATCTTGTCAATGGTTTGTTGTACAACTATCTTAGATTGAGGATCCAAGGCACTAGTGGGCTCATCTAAGAAAGCATTCTAGAGTTTTTTAATTAGGGCACAAGCTAGAGCAATTCTCTGCTTCTGACCATCTGAGAACTATGTTCCTTTATCTCCAACTTGTATACCATTTTAAAGTTAGAACATAATTTAGTGCTAATGTATATTGATATGAAACTTCATTTATATGTGATGAGAAATGTGAATGTTTATGTCATTAACCTAAGTATTATATCCTTGTGGAAGTCCAAAGATGAAGTCGTTGGCATATTGGCTGCTACATAGGTAGGGCTGGGCAAACAATGGGT